CATCCACCCCTCACTGTCACCGCGCCACCCGCGCATGCACACGCTGAGGGGGGGAGGGCACAGTGACATGGGATCTATCCCCCCCCCCTGGAAGAGCAGGGATGATGCGGTATCTCCCCCTCTCCCCCTCCTTCCCCGTGTACGTCTGTTGTGGGGGTTTCTCCCCCTCCCCTCCCTCCGCGCACGTCTGCCGTAGGAGTAACTCTCCCTATCTCCCACTCCTTCTCCTCCTCTACCCCTCCTTCTCGCTCCTTCTCTCCCCCTCTCCCCTTTCCTCCTTCCATCCCCCTTTCCCCCTCCCTCCCTCCCGCCGCGGGGTGTCTCCCCTTCCCCCATGCAGCTGTCACGTGTGTCCGGTTTGTTTACGAAAGCGGCGCCCCCCCGCGGGGGATATCGCAACACGGATACTGTTGCTGGGCTATTTTGACATTTCTCCTCGGTGAGCGAAGAGAAGAGAACAGAAGGGAAGAGAAGAGACGCCCATTAGTGCGACCGCACGGGAGAAGAAATAGATTCTCAGCGGGGGAGAAGGGGAGTGACGGTGAGAGAAGGGGAAAGGCGGTGAAGGAAGGGGAGAGGCAGCCGTGAAGGGAGAGGCAGCGGGGAGAAGGGAAGGGGAGAGGCGGTGAGGGAAGGGGAGAGGCAGCAGGGAAAGGGGAGAGGCAGCGGGGAGAAGGGGAGAGGCGGTGAGGGAAGGGGAGAGGCAGCAGGGGAAAGGGGACAGGCAGCGGGGAGAAGGGGAGAGGCGGCGGGGGAGGGAGGTAGCGGCCGGTAAAAAAGGGACGGTGGCAGGGAAAGGGCAGTGAGGGAAGGGGGAGTGGCGGAGGAGAAAAGAGAGAAGCAGCGGGAGGTGGGAAGGGCAGCGGGAGGATGCTCAGCTTCCGATGCGGAGAATGACACACACACACACACACACACACACACACACACAACACACACACACACACACACACACACACACACACACACACACACGACACACACACACACACACACACACACACACACACACACACACACACACACA